TTCTTATCTCCACAGGAAAACACTTATCTTTGAAAAATTCAAGGGACCCTGGATATTTGAACACTGACAGATGGAAAAATAACTACCCAATATGGATTATCAAGAAAACTTAATAGATTCTGTGAGTATGAAGCTCTGGAATATACTAAATCATATTTCTGAATTTATAGAGCTGGTTTTGGAGTTGGACTCTTGGCTCGGTCCCTCTCTAATTCCAAGCCTGTTGTTAGGAGAAAAAACCAGAGTTTCTGGAGTTTCTGCCTTATGTCAAGAGCCATGATATGAGACAGAAAGAAATATGAGTTTAGAAAACATCTTTGCTTTTCTTCATATCTATCATACTTTTCATTGAATATGTCTATCATACCTTTCATTGAGTATATGTTTGTACATGTCTATATAATTAATGTTTAAGTTTTCCACAATGAACAATGAGTTTTTCGTGCACTGACTTTTGAAGCTTCCAGGAAGAAGATGGGACCCCCATAACAACAACTCCACTCGGTTGATATGACGTCATGATACTGATAGTGCTACTACAAGTCCTGTTTTGGATATCAGCTGCACAGATGATTCCAACTTGGTTAGCTGAAATGGTGCACATCTTGTGCAACATTCTGGCCAGACCTCCACCAAATACTCAGAGACTGTTTGCAATTTTAAAAGACATTGACCTTGAAATTTAACCATCACTTTACTTTCACAGGATCCTCCAGAAAGAACCATACCCCCATGACAGCTGGAAGTAATTCTAGAGGACGATGTCCCCTCTCTCAGCAAAGTTTGTCCTCAGGTTTAGGAACAATATTTAGGGATTGATTATAATTAGTATACGATTGAGAGTTGGGAAAGGAATTTATAAGCTCAGGGATATTTTTGAAAAAAAAGGGGAGGGATAATTGGATAGATAATAATGGTATTTGTGAGTTATTGTTTATAGATAATTACATCGGCATATATTGAATATTGTATGTATGGATGCTTCTACCTGTTTAAAACATTTTTTATGTATTGATATATATTGTATTGATATATTTATACCATATTGCAGTGTACATTTTTACCTCTGATTAAGATACTCATATATTGTTTATGTATTGATATTTATTGTTTACATTAGGAGGTCATTGTCCTCATTTATTGCACAGTTGTTTATTCTCTTAGTCTTTAAGTTAGATACATGTTAAGAATTGTAGATCAATAGTCATCTATGTCTGTCATATTTATGGTTAGACTAATCAGGTTCTTTAGATACATAGAGATTATATATAAATAGTCTTCAACCTCTTCGAAGAGCTGTAGAAAATGGCATTTAATTTAATCTTAGAGTTCTGTGTAGTAAGACACAATCACTTCTGGCAACATCAACCTATTCCCGAGATTGTTGAGCACCAAAGACACTCCACTTGGAGCTTGTCTTCTTGACAAAACTGGCCTCTGGGCAAGGAAATGCCCATACCTCAACTACAGACAAATACACGGTATCCGGAAATGGATAAGCAGAACTGTCAAATCTTACCAAGACAGGGTAAGATGGTTTTGAAAAATCTCTTGCCTGTTAAAAATAATCTGTTATTCTAGGTCTTAGTCAAAGTTGGTTGCTTCAACGCTGCAAACAGGTCTTTGGTGATTGCCCAGGTATCCAGTTGTCTCTGTGATTTGTTGCATGTTTTGGAAGTTCTTTGATTGCACTTCCTAATTACTCAGGTAACATTATTTCCCTTCTCGGATCTTCTGTGGGGTTGAAGACTAGATAAATGTAGCTACTTTCCTCTCATGACTTGGCTAAGTTATTTATTATACAAGACTTTAGCTAGTTAGAATAGGATATTTGTACTTATTGTATATAATTGTGTAGGTTTGTACTTACTGTATATAATTTCATAGTAGGCTTAGAACTCTCTTACTTAAACAAAAGGGGGAGGTGCTGTGGGAGTACCTTCCGCTGCTTCAGCCAATAGTCTCTGAAGCACGAGCCCACAGTGCTGCGGGAACACCTTTCGCTCCGTCAACCAATAGCCGCTGAAATACCAGCCTACTGGGGCGTGATATATTTCTCTTTAAAAGAAGAGCGGCAAGCCTCAGCTCAGCCTCTTGGTTCCGGCGCTTGGTTCCGGCTTCTGCTCCAGTGACTAGGCTCCTTTCCTGATGGTTTATGTGTTTGTAAGTTTACCCCCCAAAATAAATACCCCTTTAAAACATAACTGGTGTGGGATTGATTCGTCATTAATCTATGTAATAGTAAATTATAGATTTAGCAAACTGTTTATGTATTATTTTAAATAGCTGACTTACAAAATATTGGTACAGGGTGGGGATATTGAGTATTTTCTGTGGTAACATAGTCCATTAGTATCTTCTAGTAGGTTGAGAATTATTATAAGTAGGTACTGTGAAGGAAATTTTTTCTCTGTCCTTGTAAGGGCATAATGAAAAAACAATCTTTTAAATCAATAAGAGGCCATTCTTTAGGTATTAGAGAAGGGAAAAGAATTCTAGATTGTAGAGGACCCATAGGTTGAATTACTTGGTTGACAGCTTTAAATCAGTTACCATTCTCCATTTTCAAGATTTCTTTTTAACAACAAATACAGGAGAATTAATTCCGAGGGCTGGTTGATTCTTCAATATGATGAGCATCTAGTTAATTCTGTACCACCTGTTCTAAAGCCTGCAGTTTCTCTTCTATTAAAGGCATTGTTCAACCCATATTGGTTTCTCCATTAACCATTTTAAAGGTAGAGCCAATGGTACCTCTGAAGATTTGCTATTTGTTGTGTTCTTGTACAATGTGAATGGATGTTGACTATTTTTTGTAGTACCTTATAATATCCTCCCCAGAAAAATGGGTTTCTAGGATTGCAGAAATGTTAATCTGAGTATCCCATTGCTACAGCAGATCATGAACTCATAAATTCACTGTGATATTGACACATATGGTTTCAGCATTTCTTGCTGTTCTTCTGGCCCTATGCATTCAACCCATCTCATGTTTTGTTTCCATTGAGATGGGACTCCAATTCCTAGAAATTGAACATTCCTTATTCCATCATCCAGAACAGTATGGTTTTTTAAAGCAGGCACTGGAGTTTGTTTTTTTTTAATTTTACTGGCGAGACATGTCCTTCACAGTGACTGAGAATGACCATGTTTGACATGGGGGCCTATGAGAGGCTCCCCAAGGAGTTTCCCAATGGTATCTGGTTGCCGTGTTTGTCTTTTTTTAATCTACATTCATTGGTCCAATGTGAGCCTATGCTGCATCTTCTACATAATCCAGAAGATTGAGACCTTCAATTTTTAATCATTCCCAGAAGAGATTTTTTTCTAAGAATTCCCTGTCTACAATCCCTTCTCAGATGTCTTATTCTACCACAAATGAAACATTTGCCACTTTGATATCCCCTTATACCTTTGGAAATTGCTTCGCCTACCCAAACCTCAGTATTATAGTCAAATGACTCAATGTTCATTGTATGCAGGATACTTTCATTCATTGGTGTTGTCCTAACCTTTAAAGGTTCAAGTATCTTTTTGCATCTAGGTTGGCATTTTCAAAAGCCAGAGAGTTAATAAGTACTCATCTAGTTTCTGAGTCTGTTACTCCTATTTATACAGCATTAGTTAATCTTTGTAAAAAGTCACTGGGGGCGGGGATTCTTTGGCCTTGTTTAACCCTAGTATATGATTCAATTCTTTTTCCTAGTTCTTGAATCCTGTCCCAAGCATTTCAGGCTTCTGTGTGGCATAGGAACAAGATGTGTTCATCATAAAGGGCTTGATACTGTGGGTCAGGATAAGTGCCTTCACCAAGAATTTAGTCTTAGGAAACCTCAAATCCTTTATCTCTTCCTTGTTGTTCAAATTTTTTTTGCTTCTTCTAGTCAGTAACATTTCCATAGTAGTTATGGCCTGTCTTCTAGGACTACTAAAACTAACTGAAGCCAACCATGTGGAGCAGCATTACTGCTGGAAGTCCATGTCTTTACCATCTCCCTAACAAATGGTGAATGCATGCCATAAGATACTACAGCTTGCTTCATTTATTTTAGGTCACACATACCTATAGATTTCTATCTACATTTTTGGATACTTTTGAGTATTTAGAACTTGATGGTTTGTCAGGGGTAAGCATTACTTATTATGGAGTAAGCAGTTAAAACTCTTGGTAAGTCATCTCTGACTCTGAGTAATACTGGTAATGATAAATCCTTTCCTTGTACCTTCTCTCCTTGCTCATTCGTTCTGATAATTTCCTCAACTGTATCAAATCTCTCTACCATTGTATTTTATAAAGCCTGAGTCTCTTGATCTGTGAACTTTTCTAATAATGTCATTGACTCACATAACCTCTGGTCCTCATTATGTACATATGATTCCAAGGTATAAAACTGTTCCGTTAAGCATAACTTCTCACCATTGGATATTATTTGGATGGCATGCAGATTACCTACTGGAGAGATACTCTATCTGCAAACTTATCATAACTTTTTAACAGATTTTTATTGTCAAACAGTATGAATTCTTTCAGATAATTTCTCAGTACCTTTTGACATGGATTGAATTTTGTCTGCCAAATTAATGCTATCTTTTTCAATGGTATTAATCTTTTCAGCTAACTCTTGATTTTTGATGACATTAATTCTTTCATCTATCTATTCATTATTAGTCTGTAAAGACTTATAATTTCTAAAAGTGCCTCATTCTTGGCTCTGTTATTAAACCACTTTTTTAAGGATATAATATTAAAATCAAAGGTAAGTCCCAATATCAAAAAGATGGATGCATTGGAAAAACAATATAAGCCTTGCAGAATACCATCCATAGTATAAACAAAAAGGTTATTAAATTCCTGGATGGTGATATTGTCTGTTATTATATAACTTTCAAATTTATTGATTTATTTATTGATCAAATGAAATTACCATCACTATGAGATTTCAGTAAATTGTTGTAGGTATAATAATCTTTATAGGCCAACAGATGTCACAGTTGTGACTATGTGGCAGAGAGACATGAAAAGCAGTGGCATGAACAGCATGAACGTGGAACAGCTCAGTTCCACGTTGCTGCCTGCTAAAAAGGTCAAGTAACATATAAAGGTAAGCCTATCAGAATTACACCTGACTTCTCAATGGAAAACATGAAAGCCAGAAGGTCCTGGATAGATGTACTGTAGACACTAAGCTTTCTTTCACCATCATGGAGAAAACAAAATATTCCATGTCAAAAACAGATTTAAACAATACGTATCCACAAACCCAGCCTTACAGAAAGTACTAAAAGGAAAATCTCAATTCAAAAAAGCTAACTACACCACAATAGTGCAGACATCTGATAAACCCCCTCCAGAATAACCCAAAGAAGGAACGCATACAAATACTACTATCGGGCGAGGCTGGCCCGCAGGGCGCGGAGCCAGCAGCGAGCACCACGCTGGAGCAGCAGCGGCAGCGGGAGCCTGGGCCGCCAGCCGCTGTGTAAGTGGGAGGTGTTCCCTGGCCACAACCGCTTCTACTGCAGTGGCCGCCTCATGCTGGCCTGCCATGGCGGCGTCTTCGCGCTCACGCTGCTGCTCATCCTCAGTACCACCGTACTCTTCTTCTTCTTCGACTGTCCCTACCTGGCCCACAGACTGACCCTGGCCGTCCCCATCATCGCTGCCATCCTCTTCTTCTTTGTCATGAGCTGCCTCCTGCAGACCAGTTTTACTGACCCTGGCATCCTACCCCGGGCAACCATCTGTGAAGCAGCTGCCCTGGAGAAGCAGATTGACAACGCAGGCAGCTCCACATACCGACCGCCCCCTTGGACCCGGGAGGTGCTGATCAACGGGCAGATGGTGAAGCTGAAATACTGCTTCACTTGTAAGATGTTCTGGCCACCCAGGACCTTGCACTGCAGTGTCTGCGACAACTGTGTGACCTTCATCTTCGCCTGCGTGGTCACCCACCTGACTCTGCGTTCTCAAGAAAGCAACTTCCTCTCCACTCTGAAAGAGACACCAGCAAGTGCGCTGGAGTTGCTCATCTGCTTCTTCTCCATCTGGTCCATCCTGGGCCTCTCAGCGTTCCGAACTTACCCCGTCGCCTCCAGCCTGACAACTAACGAAGACATCAAAGGGTCTTGGTCCAGTAAGAGGGGCAGTGAGGCCTCTGTCAACCCCTACAGCCATAAAAGTATTGTCACCAACTGCTGTGCTGTGCTCTGTGGCTCCCTACCTCCCAGCCTGATCGACTGGCGGGGATTCGTGCAGTCTGACGCTGTGTTGCCCTCGCTCATCAGAAGTGACGAGCCAGCCTGTGGGGCCAAGCCAGATGCCAGCATGGTAGGAGGCCACCCCTGAATGTGACTCAGTGCTTGCCACCTGCCACCCTCCACGCCTGCCGGGACCCTCCCCATACCATCCGAGGGAAGCAGAGCTGCCAAAGACTCAAGTCTTTTCGCATTTATTTCCCATCCTGCACAGATTTCTCTGAACTGTCACGTAGCTGTGCCCTCTTGCTCCTCAAACCCAGGTTCCCACAGTTTGGGCCCTAGGTCCCTGAACTGATCAGAGAGCCACAGCCTCTGGAGGCCACCAGGGAACCATGCCAAGTCACTGCCTGTGCCCAGGGAGACCCAGTGTGAGTGAGGGTGTGAACTGAGTGGGGGACCTCCCAGCCGGAGGCATGCTTGGACCCTGGGGAGCCGGGGCTTCTGGGAGCAGGACTGCTGAGCAGCTGGCCCTGAAGCACAGGTGGAAGGCCAGCACCTGCCCTTGGACTCCTGGTCTGGGACTCCCACATTCCCTTTGAGATGAGCAAGGCTATTTTGGTGGTCTTTGGGGGGGCGATTATATGGAATTGGCCAGTAGGATAGAGCTGGGGTACCAGTAGAGAGCATGGGCAGGGGGTGGGAGGCAGCCTGTCAGAGGAAGCCAAACCAGTCATCCAGGCCCCAGAACCTCAGCTCCTGTAGAGTTCTGGGCAGCACAGTAGGAATGGGAATGGGGACCCTGCCTTCCCCAACCCATGGAGACTCTCAAGGATCCTTTCCTGTGCCGCACCCCCACAGTCTCTTCCAAATCAGAGCTAGAGGTGGGTGGGTTAGGTGATGCTGGCAATATTTGAAAGGGGTTTATTAATGCTGGGTATTTTGCACAATTTTATAGACCTCTTTTTTACATGGCCCTTTTTTTAAAAATAGAAGTTAATGTGTTACTATCTGTGTAGTGCCAAGTCAAGAATTTTCAGAAGGCTAGGTGGTTTGATAAATGTTTTACAGCAGATCTAGCTATAAGTGTGTGTGTGTGCGTGTGTGTGTGCGTGTGTGTGTGCGTGTGTGTGTGTGTGTGTGTGTGTGTGTGTCCCCGCCTGTGTACAAATACAGTTGACTTCCATATCCCTGGGCTCTTCCGTTTCCCTCTTGCCCTGTGTTCAGAAGCAGCCTGATAAGTAGGGGCTGGGAAGATGGTGCATTAATCACAAGAGACCCCTGGGCTCCTGCTCTTCCCTTCTGCCACAGCCTTCAGACAACCAGTGGCTAGGGACTCTGCCACCCAGCCCCCAGGTCAGGCTCCCAGCTGTAACCTGCCCCAACAGGCTGGGGCTAGGTGTGGTGGGTGGGGTGACTGGGTATGGGGAGTGGGGAGCAGCTGCCATTTTTCAAGCCACACCCCCATCTTGGCTTTCTGCTCTGTATATACCCCCCCATGCTAGAGAGTAGGAGACAACACAGTTCTGCTAATTAGGAATGAAGAAAGAAGCAGAACAGGCCAGGAGGCGTGTGGGTTGGCCAGGACCTCATAGCACATCGTCCTGCTGCTGGGATCTGTAGTTTCTAATCAAAATAGAGACTTGTTATTTTAGGACCCCCGCTTTGGCCCTTCAGGTGGGCTGAAGCCCTTGGATCATAGCATAGGAAATCAGTCCAACTTCTCTTCCTTGCTCCTAAGGCCATTGGGTCCCAGACAGCTGGGGAGTGTGCTAGCCAGGAGAAACCACTTCAGAGCCCTAGGCCATCCTGCAATGGCTCTGGGAGGTAGATGAGGGGCTGGAGGAGGCTCCCTAACCTGCCTTTTATTTAAGCCAGTATTTGTTCCTGCTTGTAATAAAACTTCCGTTTTTAAGAGCTGAAAAAAAAAGCAAATACTACTACCAAAAAATAACCAAAGTTAACTACCACTGGTCATTAATATCGATTAATATCAATGGTCTGAATTCACCTATAAAAAGACACAGGTTAAGAGAATGGATACAAAAACAGGATTCAGCCTTCTGTTGTTTACAAGAAACACACCTCAACCTCAAAGACAGACACTACATCAGAGTAAAGAGTTGGTAAAAGGTTTTCCAATCAAATGGACCTAAGAAACAAGCAGTTGTGACTATTATAGTCTTCTGCATGAGTGGGAAACAGGAACTGAACCCAGCAGGAGAGACAGAAGGCACACAAGCTTTATATCAGCATTTATAGTACAAGAGACCATGCCCAAGTGGGCTAGTATCTTCAAGGCTATTGGCTGAAGGACTTCCCACAGCATAAACCCACATAAAAATCCAAGATTTTGTGGGGGCATATAACTTATACCAAAAACTTAAATAAACTGCCAGCAATAGTCAAGTTTTGGAAATTATGCACCAGAAAACCTGTCTCATAGCAAACTACCAAAAAAGTGAGAGGCATCGTTTCGAAGACAAAGGGGAAAACAAGGGAGGAAAAAGCATCAAGAAGTTCTGTCAACTCCCCATAATCACTAAGCATATGAAAACCATACAAACATCAGAGAAAATGTAACATCACATGGCCATTAGTAAAAACTGAATAGTTCCTATGTGTCTTTAATCAGGATTGCTATCACTGCAACTCAAGCAGAACTCACAGGAATTCCTGCAACACTGCTGCAGGAGATTCAGTGCTGAGGTGTACTGAAAAGAGGGGAGCATCTCACTTTCCTGTCACCGACTTCAAACTTCTTCTTTTTCAGTGGCGGAGAGGGAGACGATCCTGGGATTAACACCTTCAGGCCAGACACTCTGTCTGCTACAAAGTCTAGACCTTGGCAATGTGTGCACCTAGGATGCCCAGATGAAGACATCATCTGTTGATGGGGAAATGTCATTAATTTCCCTCATGCATAGCCCTTCTAAATTCCTGGCCTTGCCTCCAGCTCCAAACCTAGAACAAACACAGAATAACAATGTACATGAGTTGACTGCTGAGCAATGAAAGCCTCTACATGCCTATGAGGGCACAAAGCACAACCAATATGCATTACTTCTCCCCTTTGCACATCCTGACATTCAGCAGCCCCTGAACTACACTGATGTTGGGAGCTTAAGGCAGAAGTTACTTTCTGATAATGCCACTGTGGGAAGCAGTAGCCTTGGTCTGGAAGAGCCTGAGGTTCTGCAGAGTGTCACGGTATCAAGCATTAACTTTGCAGATATTCTGGTAGCAGATATTCACCTTCCCCAACTCTTAAACTCCATCACTGACCTACACAAATGTAAGATCCCACAGCAATCCAATCCAAAGACTCCACAGACATCTTGAGGGATCAGCCCCAGAAATACTACAGTATCATCATTGGATTTTCTGAACCAGGGAGCAAGAAAGACCAGAAAGCCTCTGATTTGCTTCATGGAGCTCCTCAGGTGAGAACCCAGCACCAGGACCTGCTGGAGGGAGAAGATACTGGGGGCAGCGAAAAGGTTATTGAAAACAAGGAGAGCAAAGTTAAGAAATCTGTACCTAAAAGCCCCAGTGTAGCTAGGACAAGACCAAGAGGAACAGAGAAAACAACTCCAAGAAAACACAGGTGTTGAAGCCATCAAGTAACAGAGTCAAGGCACAGGACAAGCCAACCAGCCTTAAGATGGTGAGAAATTCACCTGACATCAGCAATGACACATTAAAGAAGCTTCCAACTCACCTTGACATGCACATTCTGGAGTATGTGCAGGTCTTTCACCCTCTAGGGAAAAAGAATGATAAGAAAACTGGCATCTCCTCCTTGCAGCTCAACTAAACTTCAGCAGCAACAAAGATCCCAGAACAGGGCCAATCACCACATCACCACCAGGTGTGCCACATGATGGCCAAAGACATGGGAAAATTCAGGGCAATGCTCAGAGACTAGAGAGCATTGCTCCATCCCAGTATGAGTGACCACTGCTGGGAAAGTGAAGTTAATACCTCTTCCTTTCACAGCCCTGGACAAGCCTCAAACCAAACATGTTTCTAGAAAGTTTCTCTCCCTGCCTTCACACAAGCCCACTGCAGCTTACCCAGTGAGGCCTCATTCCCACTCAGCCCTGCCTACCACACACAAGACATCACAACCAGCTCCTGCTAACATATCATTGATGGCCTCTGATAAGCCAGCTTTGCCAAATGCCACTAATGCCACACAATGTAACATAACCAACCCCATCCAATCTTACACTGGGCCTCAGCCCTAGAGGCTTGGACCCTACAGAGCATCATCTCATACTTTAATCCACAGGGAATCTGTTTTTTTTCCAAGAACAGGGCCCTATATCCTTTCAGAACTCAAACCCAATACCTGCTGTAAGACTTCAGCCAGCAACCGATTTCATGGAGGAAAGTGGACATTCCAGGGCCACAGCCAATCTCTCACAGCCAATTCTCACAGACAGTCACTGAAGAGCAGAGGCCAGAGAGGGAGGCCATGAAGAGGTGGGCCCAACAGGAGAGAGAGAATGCCTCCAAGTGTACCTCTCTGGGAAACCACAGCTTTTCCTTCAGAGGGAGAAGGATATGGAAATTACTAGATATTATGGCTGTGCAGTGTGTGACCCAAGCCTTGGGAACACAATGCTATTCAATATAAACAGGTGGATAGATACAGATATACATGCATTCATTAAGTTTAAAGACTTAGGTGAATGTGTAGATGTACAGATACAAATGTATGGATGTAAATTCAAATGTAGATGTATGCATTTATGTAGGAATGGACAGACAGTGTTTCTACACTTGTAACTATTTGAAGACACAAAAAATGACTGGAGAAACTTAGGTCAGTTTTTAAACCATGAGTATATATAGTGGGCTTTGATGTTTTCCTCATAACTTCACTATTCTTAATTTGGGTTGCCAAAGTAATAATATGTGCTACATAAATACATCTTATGCTATAAAATTCTGGTACTATTTAATTAATGTTAAAGCAGTTAGCTAAAAGCTCTAGCAGTAACAAAATTAATCTCCTTGACTTTTATTGTCAGGATACTAGTTATTGAATATGGTATGTTTCTGATAGTGTATAATGTAAAGTGAACACACTCCTGCTCTTACTACACTTCCTCCCATTTTGAACGTCATAAACAAGCCCTTTAATCACAAGTAGTCCAGGATAGAGATCCTCCTGCATTTTCATCAAATGAAAGACAGGAATCCATGTACACACAATTAAGCACCCA